GTGTGTGTGTGTGTGTGTGTGTGTGTGTGTGTGTGTGTGTGTGTGTGTGTAAGTAACAAATATTTCCTCACAAAATAACAGCAAAAATGAAAGTCCAGGTTAATTCGGGAGGATATCATTTGAAGGCAATCAGTATTTGGAATTATAGTTTTCAATATCTAGAGATAGAGTGTATTAATATTGATAAATAAAATTAAAACTTTGCTTATTTTGTCTCTGCTCAGAGTTTCACGGATATTACATGTATTATTCAATTAAATCTCCTGATGAGTGGGTGGAATCTCCATGTAACTCCGAGTTAAGAGAAAATAAATGAATCTACATACACACAAACACACACACACACATATATATATATATATATATATATAACCACATTTTTTAATCATTTTCTCCCAAGCAAGACAATAAAGCCACTGAGGCGTAAAGGGTTACTGAATGTTAGAGAATATTAGAAGAGAAAAAAACATTATTAAGGCATAGGAATTAAGAAATCAAAAAACAACGATTGACATTACATTTAAATTTTCGAAAATCAAATTTGACTGGAAAACAAGAAGCCGGAAAAGAGTTCCACTAACGAGAAGTGCGAGAAAAAAATGTTAGCATTTTAACTGTAAAATGTTGAGACTTGATCGCCAATCTAGTACTGCGCTTAAATTCGTAAATCCTAGGTTTCAAATTAAGTTTAAATTTGTAAAGCCTACGTACCAGTATAATTACCATGAAATATTTAGAGAAAAGGTACAGGGAATCTGTGTTACGGCAGTGGGAAATTGACTGAAGCTGGGATGCCAGGTCAAGACCAATAATATTGCAAATTCTTCTTTGGAGTTTATCAAGCATCTCTAAATACATAGCAGAAGCATCAGACCATATGTTGCAGCTATATGCAATATAAGAATGCTTATAAATGTATAAGAAGAAAACAAGTATATGAAACCCGGTTAAACGCCTTCGAGATATCTAAAAGAACAGTTCGATCTTCACAATTGTTAAAGGTTGATAGACTCTTTCGACAATAACTGTTAATACAACCCAAACTAGAGAAACGAAATTCATATGGCTTATCTGAAAGAAAAACTTGCGAAGGGAGATGCTTAACGAATTCTGAGTTCATTAAAGCTTTTAGTAATTTGCCAAAGAGAAGTAGAAGGCCAATAGGACGATAATCAGGAGGATCAGATCATTCACCTGAGTTCTTAAAGACTGGAAGTACTGAAGAGAATTTTCAACAAGAAGGAAAACAAGAAGCGGAATTTATTGTAAAGTTTAAAGAGAACAGGAGTCAGTTCAGAAGAAAATTTATTCAGGTCTCTTGCAAGGATACCATCAAATTCACATGCTTTGTTTCAAGAAACCATGGACGGAGTTATATGTATATCATAGAATAGACAGAGAGTTCTAAGTGGAAAATCAGGTAAAGATTGTCCAGAATAAAGAGTAGAATTTTAAAAGTATTTACAAGCAAAAAGAAGTGAAGAGAGGAGGAATAAAAAGACTTACTAACCCTAACACTGCCGAGAATACTGGCGGCTGTGTAACAGTGTGTTAAATAATTAACACACTATTACAGAACCGCCAGTATTCACGAGAACAATTGTTTTAGAGGCTATACGGGGTCTACATTCTGTCAGCAAAATATGACTTAGCCCCTTTGAGGACACGTTCACAAGTATTACAAGAATATGCAAAGAGGCGTCTATTGTGATCGGAACTATGTTGGCACAGCCAGAAAAAGTGATTCCTGTGGGTCAATGCTATTGAATAGGCTGATGTGAACCACTTATCCAATATTAAATATTATATATATATATATATATATATATATATATATATATATATATATATATATATATATTTCTGAAACATTGGTCTACTTGCAACTACGGTTTCTGGACTTGCACCTACAAGTATAATTGTACTTGTCGATGCAAGTACAATTATAAATAGATCTTTCAAGACGAAACAATGATTTTCTGCCTGACGAAGACATCTTGGCAGAAACTGTGGTTGCAAGAAGGTCAGTGTTTCAGATATTTCATATCTTGACCTACATTTTTTAATAAAAATCCTTTTGACCACTCTTTTAATTTAGCCTTTCTTTTGGCGAATATCATTTTTGCCAAAGATTGAATATATATATATATATATATATATATATATATATATATATATATATATATATATACTGCGGTTACGTACTCTAATGTGTACGTTTGATTGCTTCGATGTAGCGAAATCTTGAAAGGCGTTTAAAGAATTTAGATTGAAACTTAGCAAACGAAGTAATCAGTTACAACGAATCACGTGATCTTTTTGGCTGAGTAAAGCGATTGATTGAACGCCTATTCTCTTGGCTGTAGGCTATCGCCGTTCGATGCCAACAACCTAATCAGGAACGTACTGCGAAATTATTGATTGAAAACTCTCATCCAATCGATTGTCTTGCGGCGTTTGTAGATTGAACTCTCTTCGGAAAGGTTGATGTCAAGATCTTATAATGTCAAATGTTGCAGTTCCTAATCCACAAAGTAGTGAGACATTGAAGCTAATTGATAAAAAAGGAATTTCGGTTTAATATTGGCGACTTTTTTTTGAACCGGAAACTTCCCCAATAATTTTTAAAAGTTTCAAGTGAAAATAGCAGGTCTCTATTAGCGAGTAACTAAATGTCATTGTTCTTTCAAAGATGACGCTAAAAAAAAAAAAACAGAGAAAAACGCTTAAAACAGTAAACGCCCAATGGTCCTCTTCAGTAACTTCTCTGAATGCAGTGCAACCAAAATGATTTTTTCAATTGAGCTGCGATTTAAATTTCAAAGCGGACAACCCGTCCATTGGAAAATCTGACTCCGGGGGTCTCTCATCATTTTATGCTCGGCGCACCCACAAAAATCATGCGCTAATTTATATTTGCTTTTTATGCAATAGGAACCGGTGGCTATCTTTTATTCTATGCCGGCGAGACGAAATTTTATTGGGTTTACATTGAAAAGAAACATTAATAGACGCCCAGGACATCAAATAAAATTTAGTAAAATCTATTGGTTGTAAATGTAATTGAATATGTTGTGTATGTTTGCTAAATCTCTGCTTGTTTGGCAAAGATCTGTTCCAACAGATCCCTTCAAAATATTAATACACTTTGCCATCAGGTGGAATTTTGGAGCTTCAAAGCTAATACCGGTAGTGGAATTTACGAGTGTCTTAATCATAAAGTAGAAAATTATGTCCTTTCTGATTCATCTCTACGCTAGGCCTACTGAGGAGGTTGTCTAATACATGTGCTGGTTCTTTCAGTTGTCTTATTATCTACCACCAAAAGGTCAAAGGCAAAAACGCTGTGAATATAACAATTGAGATAAATATATAATCCAAATGGGAAGGAATATAAGAATGTAAATCATTAAGGGGTTGAAATTACCTCAAATTAAAAAGTGTACATGAAAGGGTAGGAACAGTAGTTCATTAGGATTTGTTAACAGATGCAACTTTGCAAACAACATTTACATAATCAGAAACTAGGAGTTTGCCTGGAGAACAGAAGAACTTCTTTAGGACATTGATATTCAAACGGATCACCCAATAGATGCTCTGTAGCGAAGAAAACGGCGAATTACCTTGTCAAACCAAGCGACAGCGTGTCGCGTGTATCCTATGACGGAAACCGTGGCGAAAAAGAAAGTTACTTGCCGAAAAAAAGGGCACGTATGATATACTGAAGATGGAACATTTAAATTAGAAACAAGTCAGTCGCAAGAGTCACCATAAAAGTATTTTGAGAAGCTAATATTGTGCGTCCTCTCACAGTTGTCGACGAATGGAAACACGCAGGGCCGATAAAAGCAGTTGGTGTTCTCGAATCGGGGAGAAAAAAAAAGACAAAATTCGTGTATTTAGCTACCGCAGCCATCGTCAGTGAGTGAGTTATTTTTTTTTTTGACTGGTTTCATGCATTGTGATTTGTGACATAGTACCTGCAAATCGAGATTTCGACATTTTCTTTCTGTCCCAGATCTTCAAGTCTTAACTTACAATTATTTGTTCTCTTCGTTGTGGAAGTAATCTGTGACAAATATTTTCCACTGCAATCCAAGAAGTCTTACATGCTCAAAACCCGGATGTTTCATCGTAAAAAACGATATTACATTTCTCGTAGACCACTGACTGAAACTGAGAGTAAGAAAAAAAATGAAAATTGTGGAATATGACAGTTAACGTTAGTACCCAGTATTATTGATGCACATAGGTCAGTTCTGAATACCATTGTAAAAAAGACTGGAAGAATGGGAAATTCGATAAAAATCTAAAATATAAAGATTGGAATTGGTAATATTTGAGACTTTTAAAAATTGTTGACAAATTGTTGTCACTTCTTCCTCAAACATAGTCACTTGACTCTACTTGTGCGGAAATTTCTATAATAATAATAATAATAATTTGCATAATGGTAAGGGTTAGTATTAGGATGAGTGAATAGCGTGACGGTTATCAGCGCATGAATTGGAATTGAGGAAGCGAGTTAAAATTCTGGCTTAGTCTGTGGCGTTCAGTTTAAGATTTATCCAGCCGAGGAGTAAACTTGATTTTCAGCCAGTTTCGAAGGGAATGTTTGAGTTCAGAACCGTATGAAGTCATGACAATTAACAGATAAAAAAGAAAAGGAGTTAAATGAGATTTATGATCGCCTACGTCCTCGTGGGATATGATAATGAAAAGCGTTAATATTAGTGACAGCAAATTATTTCGATAAACTTCTTTATTCGTGAGAAATAAATAGAATGAATTCGCAGTTTCAAGCGAATAAAACTTTACCTGTTACTTACTGGTATGTTTCATTCAGATTCAGAATTTTGCAAAAGATCGAATATTGATACTTAATATTTTTGCTTTGTTATCATTTAGAGTTTGTTTTGTTTTTTGGGAATTTTTTTACGGCTCTGTATAAAACTGCGGTTCCTCCTTTGTTTACGCTTCGGGTCTGCGAGGATATTGCGATGGTAGAAGCCGATAAAATGTTGAAACATTTTTTTTTCTCTCCCTCTCTTTTGCTTCATGTCCTTCTTTTTCCTTCCGGGCGTAAATGCCTGTTACCTTTGAACTTTTTTCGACGGTAAGGAAACCTCACCAAAAGCGTCGATGTTGTTGTCAATATTTGGAACGACTTCTTCGTTGGATTTCAAGAAATTTGCTTTCAACTTTTATCAATTTTATAGATTCTTAACCTTCATGTTATTCTTTTAAATGTTTTCATGCATCGAAGACATTTTGTTTCCTTCCAAAATGAATCGCGATTTTTTTTTTTTTATTTCTGCTAGAATAAATGAAGTACATTTAATATGATCTCTTATTAATCACGTGTTGGTAGGATTTAAGATTAAGAAAATCGCAAGTTTTCAGCAGGGCATTGGGTTGGAATTGTTCAATCTCGTTAATGGAATTTATACTTAGAAATTCTGAATAGAACAGTGTCGACATTTGGAACAAGGTTTTCCAAATTTAGGGAAAATTAACAGAAGAAATTGTGTTTTGTCTTCCATCTTTTATTGTGTTTTGTATTTGAAAATGTCCAGTAACAGTTTTGATTATAAAAAAAATATTGACGCATTTTCGAATCTCATTGTTTTAGAAATTAAAATTAAGAATATTGCATGAGGAAGAAAAAATTCATACAAGTACATGTGGCTGAATTAAAAACAACATCATGTCATTTCAACAATTTTTTCATAAAACAAGAAAATATTCCTGCAAATGCAAGTGTTTGATAAAGCTGAGTTGGTATCATGAAAAGTGTATTATTTGATTCTCTTATTGTGAAGGTTAAAAAATCCTCAATTCCGGTCGGAAATACATTTTATTTTTTCCTTTTTTTTCTTCTTCTGTCTCGGCCTCGGGTAAACCAATTCATTTTGTCCCGCTATTCAAGCCCTTGGGTAAGTTTGGGCATGATGGATTTATAAACTGTTTTAAAAAGTTACCAACATCCTCCGCTCAGGAAATTTCACTTTATCGGTAATTTGATAAATCCCTTATGCGACAACAATTTCCGTTCTTTAAATTGATTTGATTTGTTACTGCAAGGAATGTTGGAAGACAATTTGAAATAAAACAAAAAAGACGAGTCATAAAGCCTCTTTAACAACAGATAATTTTCCTCTGCTTGCGTTCAAACACAGACGACTTGAATCGGAAATTAATCAGGTATTAATTGGCTTTAAGGAGAATACAAAAATTAATGGCAGTACCAGTATTCATTAGAGTACTGCATACTTACGAGTAAATATCTCAGAATAAATGTTTAACGTAATTTGAATCATGCGAAATTGGAATAAATAAAATATTGAAGTGAAAACTTTTTTTTTACAGACGGCATTTGAATTACCGCCCCCTGACGATAATTGCAGGCGATGTAAGATGTGAAAGAATCCATCTCTTTCTCGGTAACTTTTCATAGCGAAAAGACGTATTCATTTCGCTTCCGCAAATAAGTACCTCAACTATAGACACTGGAGGTTGCTTTGAACTCTTCCCATTTCATATCTCGTTTCGTAAAAGATCCTATCAAATATTTTATTAATATTTCTTGGTCTATTCTTCCTTTGGACTTACACGAATCCACCAAAAATTGTATGCCGGTCAAATGTAGCAGGAGCGTAAAAATCATATCAAAAGTGTGAAGCTAGCAACAACTTCTCTAGGGTTGGTGATTTGAACCTTGTCATTGCTTTCGTTCTTTGTCGACATCTTTGAAGCGTAGACAAATATATGCGAATTGAAACAATCCAAGCAGAAGCAGAAGAGTCAAACGCTTTTAAAAACTGCAACGCAAAACAATGAACTTTTATGTAATTGAAGTTTGATAGACTTTGTTTTTAATGAAACAAATTGGTTAAATAAAAATGGAAAACTTTGATAATACTTCATAAGGAAAGCGATATTCATGCTCTGAATGTTAAAATAAAGAGCGATAGAGACGCAGAAGGACGTGTACCTATGTTTCATAGACTACGTAAAGGCCTTCGACAAAGTATGCCACAAGGATCTGATGGAACTGCTCAGCAACCTTGATATATTCGGGAAAGATATTAGAATAATCAAGAACCTATACTGGCAGCAAACGGCATACATGTGCATAGGGAACGAGTTCAGTGAATATACAAAAATAGAAAGGGCCGTAAGGCAAGGATGCGTCTTCTTACCCGACCTGTTCAGCCTATATAGCGAGGCAAATCTGAGAGAATTGGAAACCCTACCGGGATTTAACGTTGGCTGCCATAACCTTAACAACATACGCAGATGACACAGTACTGATAGTAGATACAGAAAAGAAATGACAAAATCTCCCACAGAAGGTATCGACAGAGAGTGAGAAGAAAGGACTAAGCATAAACTACAAGAAGACAGAATGCATGGTCATCAGTAAGAGAATGAGCCCAAAATTTGATTTGCAGGTCGGGAACACTAGAATCAAGCAGACGTCGAAGTTTAAATATCTAAGAAGCGTCTTGACAGAGGACGGTAATTGCGACACTGAGATCCGTAGACGTATTGGGATGTCCAAGGACACATTCCAAAAGCTGGGCAGAGTATTGTGGGACAGGAGGATGTCTTTGGTAACAAAGAAAAGTATACTGAGCTGTTACGTGACATCTGTCCTTCTTTACGGCAGCGAATGTTGAATGATTTCCTCAAAGATGAAGAAGAGACTCGAGGCAATGGAGATGTGGTTTTACAGAAGGATGCTAAGGATATCATGGACCGAGTGTGTGAGCAACGATGAGATCTTAGGTTGTAAACAAGGAGAAGACATACTTAACATCAGGAAGAGGCAGCTGAAGTTTCTGGGACATATGAGGAAGGAGGGCTTGGAGAACCTGATACTCACAAGTTGAATAGAGGGAAAGAGAGAAGGGAAAGCAAGGCGTGACATACCTGACGAGCTTCAGCAGGCGGATAACAGGACGTGGTCTGGGGTGGGGGGAGGAAGCAGAGGGAATGAACTTGTTGAGAGCTGCAAAGGATAGAGGGAGGTGGAGAGCTGTGATCGCCTATGTCCTGAAAGGACATGGCACATAAAAAGAAAAGAAACTTTGATGGGAAAATAAATTAATATCTTGAACTTTATGATTTCTTTTACCCACAAAGTAGGATAAACATGTCGAGACAAATATTTATTAGGTACAACTCGATGAAAATGAAAAATTACCAACGTACTTTAAATTGTACTTTTCCCTTTATCCTGACTAAGGCAGACTATAAATTTGAAATACCTTTCTCTCTCTCTCTCTCTCTCTCTCGCTTTCTCCCTCTCTCTCGCTTTCTCCCTCTCCCTCTCACTCTCTAAAAAAGTAACGTCAGTCGTAATTTAATTTTAAGAGTATGAACCAAAATTCTATATTTTACACATAAATCAATAAGCATCTACAAGCTGAGAGGAAAATGTGTTGATTTAACTACTCTCTTTTTATTCATAATCTTTTTTTTTTCAAAATGGCTGCTCTTCTCGGCACGTACAAAAATCAAAATGCCGTTATAGAATTTGTACTTTTAGAAGTATAGTGCTGCGAACATTCCCAAGCAGTTAGTGAATGTTTATGGAAAGGCTTCACTTGCTGTAAACATGGCAAGGTGATGGATCCGTAGAGTAAATGGCAATTTTAATGCACTACCTTCTGCAGAGAAATTTGGGACCATACTGTTAGAGATCATGACCAGTGCTACCATTCTTAATTCTCCTACATGAGTCAAAACACAAAACAAGGCTTCTTTAAGATAGACCACATCTGACGATAGTTGGTGTGCATTTGCCTCGTAATAGCTTAAAAACCAGACAATCTGAGCACATCTACGCTACAGTGCTGACCTGACAATCTCAGATGTTGACCGTTCAGCTGTCTGTACCCATGAAGGAGACACTTAAAGGACAGCAGTTCTCTAATGACGATAAGATGAAAGACTACAAAAGCAACCAAGACTCTTATACGAAGGAAGGAAATTATTTTGGCAACTAGATTTGGAAACGTGATATTTTTGTGTTTATTTTGAGTTGCTTTTACTATTAAATTGCTTATAATTAAAGAACATACATTTTGACTGACCTTCATATCTACCTATCTATCTATCTATCTATCTATCTATCTATCTATCTATCTTGGTCTGTTCTAAAGTCTTTTTTCTGTATTTATTTATCTCGCTATTTGCCTACAGCCTATTCCTATCGTCTGATCTACCACGATAAAATGTTTTGTTGTCGTGCTTTTCTTTCAGATCTGCATGCCTTCGTAACTAGCCATTGTGTTTTCTCACTCGATTCAAGTGCAACAACTGAAAGCGTCTTTAAAAACAAAAAACAGGGACAATTGAGAAATGTTAAAATGAAGGTTACACCGGCGTAGATTTGGTGGGACCAATGGCGGGTAGAATAGAGAGGGGCCGGATAAGGTGATGAAAAATGACTAGGTGGTCGAGTATAGGACAGAGAGGTGGGACAAAAAGCGGATAAATGTTACCATGGTTACTGATGCACATGAAATATGATTTCTCTGGTTCACTGTCTCTTTCCAGACAAGCGAAATTTTCGTTTGTTAGTTGGGAATAAAACAAAGATCTGTAAACAGACTTCAAATTCTACATGATTTTATTTTTTTCTTTCCTCTTTTCATTCACTTTTCTTTCTTTCTTCCTTTCTTTCTTTCACTCACTTTTTATTCTTTTTCTTTCTTTTTTCTTTCTTTCTTCCTTTCTTTCTTTTTTCTTTCTTTCTTCCTTTCTTTCTTTCACTCACTTTTCTTTCTTTTTCTTTCTTTTCTTTCTTTCACTCACTCACTTTTCTTTCTTTTTTCTTTCTTTCTTTCTTTATTTCTTCCACTCATTTTTGCTTCGTTTTTCTATCATTCATTATACTTTCTTTTTTCTTTCTTTCTTTCTTTTTCTTTCTTTACTTACTTTTCTTTCTTTCTATCTTTCTTTCTTTCACTCATTTTCTTTCTTTTTTCTATCACCCATTATTCTTTCTTTCACTCGTTTTTCTTTCTTTCTTTCTTTCTTTCTTTCTTTCTTTCTTTCTTTCTTTCTTTCAGGATCGATGAGATTTTGTTTTATAGATGACGCCATTTAACTTCTGTCCATGTTAGTATCTTACAAATTGAATTAACTCTCGCTCATATGTCGCCTCCAGCTTTTCTCTTTTTCAAACACATACAAAATTATAAATATTTTTAAAAAGTAGATGACTAAGTAAAATCTTTCATAAATTCTGAATGCGTTGTGTGTGTGTGTGTGTGTGTGTGTGTGTGTGTCCGTGTGTGTATGTCCGTGCATGTGTTGTGTCCGTGCATGTGTGTGTGTTGTGTCCGTGCATGTATTTGTGCTCGCACTTGCATACGTGAGTATCTGTAAATATGCCTAGAAATGACGTCGTATTTATAGACACTAAGGCATAAGAATAAACTTTTGTCAGTTTGCGACCCTAACAAATGCGTGCATGTAATTGACATTTTTGCCCCTCCTTTCGGGTGTGTTTTAATGCCCCTACCTTTCCCTTCCCTGCTGAAAACGATGACGTATTTCCGGTGAGGAAATGAGATGTTTTCAGAGCAGAATCGCTTCTCGTTATGAAAACAAAACAAACTTCAAAAAAGAAACAAAAATGAATTTTTTTTTAAATTTTGAAAATAGGAAAAATATTTGAAGATAAAATGGAGAAAAGGAATGAAAGAAATATTTTATTTTTAAAGAAACGGAAAAATACAGAACGATAAAAAGGAAAGAAAACAATTTTGAAAAAGAATAAAAAGGCAACGAAAAACATAAGCGGCAAAAGTTACATCAGAAATAAAACTTGTAGCATACCTACGGACGATAATGAGTATGTTCCCTTTAGCATAAATACAGTAATAAATACTGTATGTTGGTCTGCAGATGGAGATTCATCTCTAGCTGTGCTGGTCAAACTCTTTGCCTAGGGGCAGAGAGGATCCTCTGACGAGGATATGTCGAAGGGCAGTCTCGTCTCGGGAAACAGCTAAACGACCCCATTTTATACGGGGTCTATTGGGAATTTTGGGGCCAGCCTACGGGCTCGGATACCCCGCATTAAATTCGGTCTTGTGCCACATCTGACCGCGTTGGGCAGTTGGTAGATATCCTGCAGTTGGAGATTCATTGTGGAATTCACTTTATGAAGGGGAGTGAAGACACTGTACCAATAGTAATCGGAGCTCTGGGCCTCGTGAGAAAAGGAATGGACAATTTTACTAACAGTATCCCAGGTAGCATCAACATACAAGTTGCCCAGAAAATCGTCCTACTAGGAACATCCGATATACTAAGAAAAGTGCTATCAATTAAATGACAATTCTCCTATAGGGCCTAAGGACCATAGTTTGGACCCGGCTCTACAGGATACAAAGCAGGGAACATAACATACACAAATAATAATAATAATAATAATGGACTATCTAATATCTCTCTGCTGTAACCTTGCTCAAATGAATTTAAATATAGACATGATAGGTTAGGGAATTAACAGTATTGCAGGATATGCCGACATCATAACTTTCTCTATGCATAAAAATGGCATGACCATAAACCACCACCATCACCACCCTCTCACCACCACCATCACCACCCTCTCACCACCACCACCACTCCCTCAACACCACCACTTTCTAAGAAAGGTTTCAGGTTTCAAGTAAAATTCTTATTAAAGAGGATTGTATCAAAGTGAAAATTAGGAAAATAATAATAATGTGAAATGATGGCTAAGTATCGGAACTTTACGGCCATTGAAGAAATTGTAGGCCATTAAAGTAGCAACCGAAGAGCCTACAAAAAATGGCGAACTGGAAATTCGAAAATCAGAAAATTGGAACCATACAGACGACGGAATTATTGAAAATAGCTGGGATATTATGGAAATGGCTGGACAAGAAGAGACTTGCTGTCACTTAGTTAGTGTCTGCCACTACTAGTGTGGCTTTAAATGAGTGAAATAAATTTTATTTATTATTATTATTATTATTATTAGGATCTAATGATTTTCACTAATCATCATAAGACAACAAATCTCGATAAATCTCCAACCTCTACTGATTTTAATAACGCTGTTTTCTGAATATTTTTAAATTTATTTTATTGTATGAGAAATAATTAAAATTTATTAAACTTATCGAAGGTCGACTCAGATTTTCGTGATTCCTCACTCCTTAGGACACAGACATCATATAATACTGCTTGTTCTTTCGTTAGCTATTACGTTACACCCTGTCATTATCTTAAATAAACAATGCCCCCCCCCCTGTCTGATAGTGAGTATAGACAGAAGAAAAGGCGCTCTTTGATTTTTAAAGAATGAAAGAAAAAAGAAAAACTTGTCAATTTTGAATATTCATTTGTATCCCCTTACTTCTTAAAATAATGATCAGCATTCATATTTATGATTTTTATTGCAATATTTTGTTAAAGTTGTTAAGCTCAAATATTTAACAAGGCAATAGGTGAATTTTTCTCTTGGGCAAAATCTTGTTTGCGCTTAATACCGTTTATCTGAGTGGTCAAATCTCAGTCATTTGCACAATTCTTCAACGGGTGACCATTCCCACCCAGCCATGTCTATTTTGTACACCTTTTGAGCCAGCTTGCTGCATCCGCTTATAATATTACTAACTGACAATTTAAATTTACTACCGTCTCCAGTTTATTCTGGCTTTAATGTAGTTAATACTTGGAGAATTGTCCAAGCCCAGTATTAATAGTCATTCATTTTCTCTTTTCACATGTTCTCTGCGCAACTTGCAGTTTCTTCTACCATCCTATTGTATTTTCTTTCCAATTTTCTCTTCTCGGTTATTTTTTATTTTGCTTTGTGTTTCGTTGTAAATTTGGACATCCATCATCATTCTGTCTTTTGGAGTTCTCAAGTTCCTTGATAGCAGAATTATTATTATTATTATTATTATTATTATTATTAGAAATAAAATATAGCAAAAGAAAAACTTTTTATAAAATCATTAAATTGAAGAAACCTCAAAAAATGAAAATCATTCTTTTACAACTTTCAAAATTGTTTATCGATTTTCTCTGATTACGAAATTGAATTAATCAATAGTCCTGTGCAATTGTCAGATCATCTAACTTTTTTAAGTTTTGAAAATGTAACACAATTTTAGCAGTTATTTCAGTTGCTTAAAAGACGGAACAAAAGAACCAATGTCTCTTCATGTTCTTATAGAATTTACGAAAGACAAAAGAATTCATTGGAATTATTTTTAATGAAATAACATCCAAATATAAGAACTTAGAAATCCAAAACCAGTATATATCTTAAAGAAAAATAATCGATATTAATGACTTGCCATAAAGCAATGATTAGTAAACCTTTACTACTAAGCTTCTTTCTCAATGATTCCACCAGATGATTGGATCTATCTTTACGATGCTAAACTTTGTAAATATCAACAATGAAAGATATTGTCAATGAAAATAGACATCGAAAATAAAAGAAAACGCTTATTTTTTTCCGAAATTCAACATCGCAGCCATAAAGATAAATAAAAAAATAAATAATAAAGAAACAAAAGTTTCCGAACACAAATACGAACTGTTCTTTGACCGACGCCATATTTCCTGTTCTGTCATGGCGCATATGCAGTTCTCGTCTATCAACATGTATCGTGTCTTTTTTCTCCAATATACAGAAAGAGATTCGTATCATTCTTGTTGCAACATAATCAATATTTGTTGTTTCTTTACCATTCAAACACATTCTTTTTCCCAGACACTTTTAGTTTCTACTCGACAATTTCCATATTCATCAATATTATGTTCAATTTTCTTTTAGTTTGTCTCTTTTGCATGCCTACACTCATTTGAACTTTAAATTGAGTTCCTATTCTCAGATGAAAATTAACGATGATATGTAAACTTTCTTTACTTTTCTAAAGTTTTTTTTCTCTTTACAATATATACCCTTCCTCTTTTAGTGTATTTGTTTTTTATCCTTTTGCATGCGATTTCCATCTATGGCCAGACATTTCAGTTTACAACAAAGTAAGACGTTTGCCCGACCGAGTAAGACATTAGGGTCACAGTCTGGTGAAGGAATAAACAACAACCGTTACCACAGCAACGGGAAACGTAGGTGATTAGTGGAAATGCACAAAAGGAGTAGCGACATAAAAATTAAATCGACGAGAAACGGATTAAATTTCTGTCTCGTTTCTTGTTGAAATATCAAAAGTATGGGACAAACTGTCCAACATCTAGTGCTACAGTCAGTCATCTAAATTCATCAACTGCACGTCAGAGATTTTGAGAATCTTAAAAGGTTCGGTTCCCTTGTTAGGTTCGGGATTGAAAGCTGCTCCACATCACGACGATAGATAATAAATTTCAAAGCTGTCCAAAGTCAAAAGTTTCAATCTCCAGCTTCAATTTCTTATTTCTACCAGTTAAAACGAATGAAAACAATTTTATATTTAACAATGTTCTGGCCTGTTAAATTATCCATATGGTAAGATATTCCAACAATTGTGGCCCTTTAATCAGAGGTCTTTATTATTAGAGGGTTAATCGCATAACAAAATATTTGCTCTTAATTTATCCATAGAAACGAGTTTTGGAAAAGTGCAGAAATATATATATATGTATATAAAAAAAAAAGATACGTAAATTGTAGATACAAATAATTAATGAATTTGGGGACAATAAAATAATTTATGGTAATTTATGTATTTCGAGACAATTTAGAAAAAAACATTTGATAAATCCCAGACTTGGAAAAGAGGAGTAGGCCAATGAAGTACGTTTATTGACGGGTAATATGCACAAAAAACAATTAGCATTACATGACCCACATAGATGTTGATGTGTCGGAAAAACCACAGATTTCAAATATTTTCCATTCAACTTCAGATGGTTATCGGGCCTGTCGTTCTTTTTATCTTTTCCTCTCGCGAAGATGCGTGCTAAAATATCTAATCATCGCAGTTTCGTTACTCACACGACATCAAAAATTGAATTGAAAAGAAAAATGAAACAAAACTAACTTTCTCTGGCTTTTTCTGTTCTGGCCACTGTCGAAGAGTGGAACAGCCCACGGAAACTGGGGACTGGCCTACGATAATCGGGGACTGGCCAACGAAAAGAAACAAAAGCAAAAACCAATTCAAATGGAAAAAAATGACTGGAAAATATAATGAAAAAGATCCTAGAAAACTTTAACGAGAACATGGCGTGACAAACGACCATGCTAGGCTTTTCTACAGAACTGTGTTTGCTAAAGTCGTGTGAGACATGAGGGTGGAGGAGGTGGTTGATCGCTTTTCTTTGCGTGTGTGCGCAGAGAATAGACTTTTCATTTTATTTGCTTTAGTTCTTGCTTCTTCTTCTTCTTCTTCTTCTTCTTCTTCTTATTATTATTATTATTATTATTATTATTATTATTATTATTATTGTTGTTGTTGTTGTTGTTGTTGTATGTGACTTTTTAAATCAGTTTTTGTTTCCTACGGTTTTTGTTCGCCGTCCATAACGGGTAGGGCATGAGGGTGAGATATGAACTTCCTATCTGGGCCAGACACACGCACGAGGACGCACGCAACCAAATCTACGGATGTATGTAAATATATCTACATAAGTAAAAGTAGCCAGAGGTACCTCATTACTTAAACATACACTGAAAATATATCAAGTTATAAAGAGCTACAATTTTTATTTGCTGAAATCGACGTTGAAATACGTATAGAATAAAAAGTTAATCTAAAAGAAACTGCTAGCATTGACTGGTCCCCTTGTCAAAAATAAGGAAAATTTGTTTGGCGGGAGTGTGGGGGTGGGGAGTAATAATTTTTGTAGGTTAGAATTCATTAGAACTTAGTCAAGCAACGATATTTATCAGAATCGGGTAATATCCTTTTTATCAATTTTCTACATAGAACGTATGAAAGCACATGCGATACCCTCTGCCCTCAACTGCCGCTAAACAGGGGAGTAACCACCGAAACTGTGTTACCTCCCTTGGTTTTGTTAAAAATATAAATACAGTGCCAAATTGATCCCTGTATTTATTTACAAATGTCAAGTTTGAAACTGTTTAGGCCATTTTAATAACTGCGTACTATTGTGAATTGTAATAATGTGCATCCGTAGTACAAATTTATAAATAAGAAAAACGAATTCCAGAAAACTAAGAAATCAAAGATCATTTAACACTTTATTTAAATTATGAACATGACCGCGGCTTTTAAAATGATCAAATATCAATATTTCTTTATTCTGTCAAATGCCATGGCTTCAGGGATGTCTAATGAAGGCAAATCTACAAAAAGTGTTAAAAAAATGTCTTCCCTATTTCTTACGAGAAGTGCAGGCAAGTTAACGGGGCCAGAGAAATATTACAATCTAATCGATATATGATTGAAAAACAAAAGTTGTGTCTAATTTCGTCAATACTCTAAAGGTTTATTCACATTTTTAGTTAAATATTTAGTTTTTACTTTAAAATGATGTTGATGTCAAGAGTTTCCATTCACACATACACACACACATACACACACACACATACACACACACACACGTATATATATATGTATGTATATATATACACACACATACATATATATATATATATTTATATATATATATATATAAAAGTGAACATTGAAGTCAACACTTAGAGGTGACAGGCTGTTTCATGCTAGACGCAAACGTAGCCTGACGATTGCGTCTAGCATGAAACAGCCTGTCGCCTCTAAGTGTTGACTTCAATGTTCACTTTATATTTTACACACGCTATCTCTGATATTGAGCACTTTATCCCATAAATATAGCACACCTTAAGAGTATATTTCTTCATATATATATATATATATATATATAGATATGTATGTATGTATATACACATGCATAAATATATATATATATATATATATATATATATATATAGGCATATATAGGCATATATAGGCATATATGTTATAATGAAAAGAAAATGAAGCGTTAGATCACATCGAAAACTTTATTGGAATTTTCATTAACTTTTTTAGAATTAGAAAGAAGAGAAACTGAAGCAAATTTTGTGACAGTTTTTTGTTTACTTACGATAAAGCTGGCCAAGCATGAAAATACTAGGGAAAAAGGCTAATTAGATTTGTTTGTTGGACAAATTCAATGCACGACCATGAATGAACATATGAACTACCATTCCATCATTATGAGACACTCTAAGTAGCAAAACTCTAAGTAGCAAAACTCTAAGTAGCAAAACTTTCTTCACAAATGAGTAAGCATTTAAACTGACATTATTCGAGCAAATGATTTTTCTCGGAAAACGAATTTATTCATAATTTTTTTAATTTACAACTTCAATTGAAATCATGAGTAAAAACATGGCGTTACCAACGTAATCGATGAGAGAAACACTTCTACTTCTGAAACAGCCTTATTCGGTTTTGAAAGGCAAGGAATTCAAATTTTTTGCTTAAGGAAATTTCAGAATTCTTTCCGATCATATAAACAATAAAAACAGCCGAATATTTCATGTTTCAATTACCGTAGCTTATTTTTAAAGTAGATGTCATATTTACTGTCAAATCCTGTATTTTTCTCTCTCTCTCTCTCTCTCTTTCTCTCTCACACACACACACACACGCACACGCACACACACACATATGTGTGTGTTTGTGCATGAGTGGTTAGCTGGTTTTATGTGTATGTGTGTGCTAAAGTTATTGGTTACATAATCAAGAAAGTAGTCTGCCTTACCAATTCACAATATAATCTGTTCTAATCTAAACTAAAATTAAAAAAGTTTGTCTTGCGAATTGGTACCACTGACTGCTTTATTGATGAGAGCTCATGAAGAA